TGTTTTTTCCAGTTTTGTTTATGATTGTTTGTACTATTTGATTTATTTGTTATTAAAGAAAGGCATCTGTATTAAATTGTCACTAAAGTCAAACATTTTGTTTCATTTTGGATAGAGTAGTGGAGGGTTATAACCCTGTCAGTTTTTTTTGCGACCTGTGTCTCACAGGGGAGATTTCTGTTTGCTTCCTATCCCATAGCCAAAACAGAAAGTGAGAGAAAATCCCTTCAAAGTAAGGGAATCCGGGGGTGTCACCAAGGTCACCAAAACGTGTCCCAGTTGAAAGATTTCTGCTCTATTACTGTTCCAGTGTCAACCAAAAATTTAGGATGTTCTTTTACTTTCACTTTTGAAGTTAATGGAAAACAGAACAAATAGAGAGGGCGAGTCTCCCTAATCGGGGCACCGACAGCGAAACAATCTGACAGGTATTCTAATCCCCCTTCACTATATCCAAAACTAAAAAATAATTGGCTTTATTTACACTTTAAGGTAACATAAAGGTCTATAGTAAGGTCTTTCCATAGATATCTACAAATTTCTTAGGTCCCACATCGGACTACAAAATATCTATTGTATCCTTGCCATTCTACGAATCCATACAAGTAGCTCATGAAATGTTAAGGGTATGTAATCCCCAGCTAAGCTTATGAAAATATTAAGACTAATTAATCTGAAACATCTACACACAGACATGGTACTCCTAAAAGAGACATGTCTTCTATTTGCAGACTTCCATCCCATGCAAAAAACTTTGGGTGGAATAAATCTTGAGTTCCCCCTCTATGGGCCCAAGGCAGGGAATGGACTGTGCTTCACAAAAACTTACCCTACACACTTCAGTCTGTGAAGCAAGATGACACTGGCCACAAAATTACAATAGAACTTTAAATAAAGAATTAACAATAGCCAATATTTACACTGCCAGTGCAAAATCTTTTGCCAAGAAGCAGCAGCCTGGATTGGATTATGTCATCCCAGAATACTTTTCATACAATAGGAAGAGACTTCAATTATGTAATGTCCACTTCTGAAGACAGGAGACATACTGTAGGTCCACGTTCTTTGAACATCTATGTCGGACTTTTCCGGGTGCCTAGGGCACTATCACCACTCTATACTCCTTATTGAATTCTGTAGCCTCTTCACCTCTTTCTTATATTTCTAGCTGGGAGAAGGACCTGGGAGCTGCTGTGGAACCAGCGGACTGGATTAAGACATGATCAATTATCTCCCATTGCTCATTCAACACATCCACAATGGAGGCTGCCTACAAAGTCCTCCTGAGGTGTTATTGGGTCCCCGCCCGCATTGCAAGTGCAAATCACGATTTTGTTGACAGGTGTTTTCTTGGCTGTGGACTACGAGGTGATATGTTCCATACCTGGTTGTCATGCTCACGTCTCAAGGGGTATTGGTCTAGAGTATTTGGCCTTTTATACCTGTTCTCAAAGTCCTCTATGCGGAGGATATCTGTCTCTACTTCTTTTCGGATGTCCGTCATATCTTGTTCATGTTTCTCTAGAACTGTGGCTGCTGCATCCATCCTGTCCTCCAAATCATTTGTGCAGGAGCCTAGTTCCAGTGTTTCCTTAGTAAGTTGTGTCACCAATCTTCTATGTGGCTGAGAGCTCGGACTGCAGTAGAGACTTAAAGCAGATCAGCAGCTCCGCATCACGAAGGGCCGCTGGTTATGATAGGTGAGGCTCCTCAGAGTCCTCACCCACCGCAGAAAGGGGGAGCGAGTCTCCTGAGAGCAACAGGAAAGGATCTGGGCTGGAAGGCGAGGCCTCCAATTTGACCCCCAGGCTGTCAATTTGGAAGCCGATGTGTTCCAGCGGTGAGAAGTGAGATCAGCTTGTGGCCATCTTTGATAGCTGTTTGCAAGCACCCCCAAAGATCCTCTGATGTTCAATTATGAATCCCAAAGTTCATCAAGCAGCACCAACCAGCAAAAAAAAAAATTATGGATTCATATGTTTATTAACAGCACAGTGACATAAATAAAACTATACATGAAAAACATCTATATACAGTATAGAAAAACTGAATGTGGAACTTTTCAGCTGCATCCAGTGAAGACAGCTTTACCATCTTTAAAGAACTGTTAAATATCACTCTTATTATACTGTTACTCTTAAACTGTTACCTTAAATTTCTAGCTTATTCTCATTACCATTTGCCACTATATAGGTCTTTCTGCATAATATGAATGTGGATAAGAGACAAAAGAGGCACAAGAGATGCCTGTAACCACCTCTAAAACTCCAGTAATGGACTATGTTCACATGTAAGTAATATATTGCTTGCTTATTTGATTTACATTTTAAAAATGGTTAGTTTTGTAATAAAATCCCTTTTTCTGATGATACCTTTTGACATTGTACCACCTGAAAAAGATAAATTAAATATTAAAAAATATAGAAAAAAACGGGGTTTGAGCTACAGTTGCAAGAAAAAGTATGTGAACCCCTTGGGATTATGTGGAGTTTTGCATGAATTGGGCATAAAATGTGCTCTGAACGTCATCTAAGTCACAACAATAGAAGAACACAGTCTGCTGAACATAATACTACACAAACATTAGATGTTGCCATGGTTTAATTGCACATAACATGTAAACATTCACAGTGCAGGGAGGAAAAAGTATTTGAACCTTTGGACTTAATAACTGGTTGACCCTCCTTTGGCAGCAATAACCTCAACCAAACGTTTCCTGTAGTTGCAGATCAGACCTGCACAATGATCTGGAGTAATTTTGGACCACTCCTCTTCACAAAACTGTTTCAGTGTAGCAATATTCTTGGGATGTCTGGTGTGAATCGCTCTCTTAAGGTCATGCCACAGCATTTCAATCGGGTTGAGGTCAGGACTCTGACTGGGCCACTCCAGAAGGCGTATTCTGTGCTGTTGCAGCCATTGTTTTGTTGAATTACTTGTATGCTTTGGGTCATTGTCCTGTTGCATCACCCATCCTCTGCGGAGCTTCAGTTGGAGACAGATGGTCGTACGGTTTCCTGCAAAATGTCTTGATAAACTCTGGATTTCATTTTCCCATCAATGACAACAATCCGTCCAGGCCCTGAGGCAGCAAAGCAGCCCCAAACCATGATGCTCCCTCCGCCATGTTTTACAGTGGGGATGAGGTTTTGATGTTGGTGTGCTGTGCTTTTTTTTCTCCACACATAGTGTTGTGTGTTTCTTCCCAAACAACTCAATCTTGGTTTCATCTGTCCACAGTATATTTTGCCAGTAGTGCTGTGGAACATCCAGGTGCTCTTTTGCAAACTTCAAACGTGCTGCAATATTCTTTTTGGACAGCAATGGCTTCCTCCGTGGTGTCCTCCCATGTACTCCATTCTTGTTTAATGTTTTCCTTATTGTAGATGTGTCAACAAAAATGTTAGCATGTGCCAGAGATTTCTGTAGGTCTTTAGCTGACACTCTGGGATTCTTCTTTACCTCATGCAGCATTCTGCGCTGTGCTCTTGCAGTAATTTTTTACAGGACGACCACACCTAGGGAGAGTAGCAACAGTGCTAAACTTTCTCCATTTGTAGACAGTCTGTCTTACCGTGGACACATGAACATCAAGGCTTTTGGAGATACTTTTGTAACCCTTTCCAGCTTCATGCAAGTCAACAATTCTTGATCGTAGGTCTTCTGAGAGCTCTTTTCTGCGAGGCATGGTTCATATCAGACAGTGCTTCTTGAAACCAGTAAACCCAAAACAGGTGTATGTTTTTTAAGGGCAGGACAGCTGTCAGCAACACATCCAATATCATCACACTGATTGGAGTCAAGGTTGGCTCACTCCTGGCTCCAATTAGCTCTGGAAGAAGTCGTTAAGCTAGGGCCTCACATACTTTTTCCTCCCTGCACTGTGAATGTTTACATGTTATGTGCAATTAAACCATGGCAACATCTAATGTTTGCATAGTATTATGTTCAGCAGACTGTGTTCTTCTATTGTTGTGACTTAGATGACGTTCAGAGCACATTTTATGCCCAATTAATGCAGAACTCCACGTAATCCCAAGGGGTTCACATACTTTTTCTTGCAACTGTATATCTTTCTGCTCAGATTTTTGAACTGCTGCATCTGGAGATAATTTTGAGAAAGAATTATTTTGCTTTTGACAACCAATTCTCCCAGCAGCTACAGGGAACAGCCAGAGGCTTGATCATGGCACCCAGCAAATCTTTGTGCATCATGCACGGATTTGGTGTCACTAAACTGACAATGTGTTTTTTTTATACAGAAAGGATCTAAAGTAGAAGTTCTTTAATTCAAACAAAAACTTACAGTGGATATAAAAAGTCTACACACCCCTGTTAAAATTTCAGGTTTCTTTGATGTAAAAAAATAAGACAAAAATAAATAATTTAAAAACTTTTTCCACTTTAATGTAGCTTATAAACTGTACAACTCAGTTTAACAACAAACTGAATTTTTATAGGTGGAGGGAACTAAAAATAAAAAACTAAAATAATATGGTTGCATACGTATTCACACCCTTAACCACTAGCCTACAGGGCACTTATACACTCTTCCTGCCCAGGCCAATTTCCAGCTTTCAGCGCTGTCACAGTTTGAATGACAATTGCGCGGTCAAACAACACTGCACCCATATGAAATTTTTATCATTTTTTTGTGACAAATAGAGATTTATTTTGGTGGTATTTAATCACCTCTGGGTTTTTTATTTATTCTTAAACAAACCAAAAACTACTGAAAATTTTGAAAAAAAAATGTTTTTCTTAGTTTTTGTTATAAAATTTTGTAAATAAGTGATTTTTCTCCTTCACTGATGTGCGCTAATGAGGCTGCACTGATGGGCACTGAAAGGCTGCACTGATGGACCCTGATAGGTGGCACTGATGGGCACTGATGAGGAGGCACTGGTAGGTGGCACTGATGGACATTGACAGGCATCACTGATGGGCACTGAAAGGCAGCACTGATACATGGTACTGATATATGGCACTGATAGGCAGCACTGATAGGCGGCACTGACTGGCACTAATAGGCGGCATTTACTGGCACTAATAGGCGGCATTGACTGGCACTGATAGGCGGCACTGGCTGGCACTGTTAGGCGGCACTGACAGGCACTGATAGGCGGCACTGATGCGCACTGATAGGCAGCACTGACTGGCACTGATAGGCAGCACTGACTGGCACTGATAGGTGGCACTGATTGGCAGCACTGATACAGTCAGGTCCATAAATATTGGGACATCGACACAATTCTAACATTTTTGGCTCTATACACCACCACAATGATTTGAAATTAAACGAACAAGATGTGCTTTAACTGCAGACTGTCAGCTTTAATTTGAGGGTATTTACATCCAAATCAGGTGAACGGTGTAGGAATTACAACAGTTTGCATATGTGCCTCCCACTTGTTAAGGGACCAAAAGTAATGGGACAGAATAATAATCATAAATCAAACTTTCACTGTTTAATACTTGGTTGCAAATCCTTTGCAGTCAATTACAGCCTGAAGTCTGGAACGCATAGACATCACCAGACGTTGGGTTTCATCCCTGGTGATGCTCTGCCAGGCCTCTACTGCAACTGTCTTCAGTTTCTGCTTGTTCTTGGGGCATTTTCCCTTCAGTTTTGTCTTCAGCAAGTGAAATGCATGCTCAGTCGGATTCAGGTCAGGTGATGGAATGTTATGCAATGGCCAAGTCAACTTCTTTCCCTTAAAAAACTCTTTGGTTGCTTTTGCAGTATGCTTTGGGTCATTGTCCATCTGCACTGTGAAGCGGCGTCCAATGAGTTCTGAAGCATTTGGCTGAATATGAGCAGATATTGCCTGAAACACTTCAGAATTCATCCTGCTGCTTTTGTCAGCAGTCACATCATCAATAAATACAAGAGAACCAGTTCCATTGGCAGCCATACATGCCGACGCCATGACACTACCACCACCATGCTTCACTGATGAGGTGGTATGCTTAGGATCATGAGCAGTTTCCTTTCCTTCTCCATACTCTTCTCTTCTCATCACTCTGGTACAAGTTGATCTTGGTCTCATCTGTCCATAGAATGTTGTTCCAGAACTGTGAAGGCTTTTTTAGATGTCGTTTGGCAAACTCTAATCTGGCCTTCCTGTTTTTGAGGCTCACCAATGGTTTACATCTTGTGGTGGACCCTCTGTATTCACTCTGGTGAAGTCTTCTCTTGATTGTTGACTTTGACACATATACACCTACCTCCTGGAGAGTGTTCTTGATCTGGCCAACTGTTGTGAAGGGTGTTTTCTTCACCAGGGAAAGAATTCTTCATTCATCCACCACAGTTGTTTTCCGTGGTCTTTTGGTGTTGCTGAGCTCACCGGTGCGTTCCTTCTTTTTAAGAATGTTCCAAACAGTTGTTTTGGCCACGCCTAATGTTTTTGCTATCTCTCTGATGGGTTTGTTTTGTTTTTTCAGCCTAATGATGGCTTGCTTCACTGATAGAGACAGCTCTTTGGATCTCATCTTGAGAGTTGACAGCAACAGATTCCAAATGCAAATAGCACACTTGAAATGAACTCTGGGCCTTTTATCTGCTCATTGTAATTGGGATAATGAGGGAATAACACACACCTGGCCATGGAACAGCTGAGAAGCCAATTGTCCCATTACTTTTGGTCCCTTAACAAGTGGGAGGCACATATGCAAACTGTTGTAATTCCTACACCGTTCACCTGATTTGGATGTAAATACCCTCAAAATAAAGCTGACAGTCTGCAGTTAAAGCACATCTTGTTCGTTTCATTTCAAATCCATTGTTGTGGTGTATAGAGCCAAAAATGTTAGAATTGTGTCGATGTCCCAATATTTATGGACCTGACTGTAGGTGGCACTGATTGGCATTGATAGGTGGCACTGACTGGCACTGATGGGTGACAGCCGCGCATGCGCAGTGAAAATGGGGTTCAGGACGTCATATGACGTCCTCCCAGAACGAGAGAAACCACCTTGCGTCCGTCATATTACTATATGGTGGGCGGGAGGTGGTTAAACTAACACTTTGTTGAAGCACCTTTTGATTTTATTACAGCACTCAGTCTTTTTGGGTATGACTTTATCAGCATGGCACATCTTGACTTGACAATATTTGCTCACTCTTCCTTGCAAAAACACTCCAAATCTTTCAGATTGCGAGGGCATCTCCCGTGCACAGCCCTCTTCAGATCACCCCACAGATTTTCAATCAGATTCAGGTCTGGCTGGGTTATTCTAAAACTTTAATCTTCTTCTGGTGAAGTCATTCCTTTGTTGATTTGGATGTGTGCTTTGGGTCGTTGCCATGCTGAAAGATGAAGTTCACAGTGTGGTGAGCACAGACTTGATATTAATTAACTTTTCCTCCTCCGTGGATAAACACTTCTGTAAAGCAGGCCATCACTGCTCTTAATTGCACTTTTTAGTGATTTAAGAAGTTAAACTCAACATAAGGGGCAGTCATTTTACCTGCTGTATCCTGCAAAGGCAACTGTAGTAGATATGCAAATTACCACGTAAATACTCTGGCCCTCAATAGGATGAATCAAATTAAGGACCTGTTGTTTTTTTTATATAATGCCCATGTACTGTGCGATTTTCAGATCCCTATAAGTGTGAGATCATTTGTTCTCACCTTTTTGTATATACTGCATGTGCACATGTGTGTACCAACTTATGCTTTTTCGTTGTGGATACCCTTTTGATAATTTCTTTCTATTTGTTAGGCTCCTGTACAGCTCCTACGTTCCTATTCTCTTCAAAAACTTGCCTGGAATTTTAAGTCCTCTTCCTATTCAGATAGTGTTTGTGTTTTGCATGGGCAGCTTGAAAAGATCCACCCCTCCCAGTGTGAGTCAGTATTCCCTCTCCTGGTTGGCAATTTCCTTAAATGAAGAGAAAACAGCATCTGAGAGGAGGCAGACTGGAAGTGACATCATTGTGACATATTATCCAATACCAGACATAGTCCAGGGGGAAGAGGTGAGACTTATGTTAATGGTGTCAGTTCAAGCATTTAAAACATGCAGGGTGTCCTTCTGTGCACAAGTGGATTTGACTTGAGAAATGGTTTCTCCCTAAATTGTACTTGGTCTGCTTCACCTCCATCCTGGCTTTTGGGGGTCCTATACCAATGAGCTACTTTACCTTTGGCACTTTTCTGCTTCTCACTTTGTGTACACTTGTTGATACTCAGATTTTCAATTTTCTGACATTGGATATTACACTATTGTACTATATGTCAGGATTTATTTATGTCACGTTTCAGGGTTTTAATGGTGAGTTCTGATTTGCGTACGCTGTTAACTGTATTGTATTTATTATTTGCATTTTCATATTTACTTTTTCTTACAAAGTTTTGAAGTCAAGTTTGTACAACAGCAATTCAGATACATTTTCTTTAAGTTTTTTGAGTGAACTAACATTTGTTATGTGCACTTGAAGTGGTATTGCCAGGATGTTGATTCTAAAAGACATTTTTATAAAGCAACGAATGTGACATTCAGTAAACATTAAATGCCAGTAAATCAATAACTGTGATATAAAACACATGCAACAAGAAGATATACCTGCAATAATTGTTTAGTGAATGTCATACCAATTGTTTAAATTAAATCCTTGTATTGTATTGTGATTATTTTCAGGTACGCCTGAGAAGGAAGTAACATTGAAAGCTTCTCCTTCATGATCAATGCTGAGCTAGTTTTGTTCTAGACAATTAGAAGAAAAATTTGAAAACTGCAGATCAGGGAGCTATAATATGCATAATACTAGCACAAAACATACATAATTTTGTTTGTGTTATTTGTATTAGTTCATGGTAATAAATACATAAATTATTGATTAAAAATATCTGAAGACAAATGATGCAAGTTTTGCTTTTTCTCATTTATTATATGAAAAAGCCCCCCCCCCCCCCGAAAAAAAGTAGTGGATTTAGACAGAAATAGGAGGTCCATTGCGTCAGTTTGTAGTGTTTTCCATAGTGGTATACCTTACTGCTTCTAGCACCTAGCTGGGAATATGGCTGGGAAGAGTAGATTTCAAGAGTTGGTATGCATGGGCTCTAGTGATCTTTTTGGATATAGTTAGCCTTGCCGAGAACATTAATTTGAAATTGAATTGGAAAAAAAAAAGAAATGCAAAATGAAAGTCATGGTGACATGGTAAGAACTGTCACAAGCAACCTCCTTAATAGGTGCAACTGTAAAGAAATGAATTTAACAGAGGAAGCATTATTACATATACTCTTGTAACTTTTAAACTTTCTAGACTTGGTGGAGTCCCAAATTACCTGGATGCATATAAAACTTTCTATTAACTTAAAAGTCAGAAAAGAATGGGATCACGTCTACATTTAAAATGAATAGAAGACGGGAGAGGGTTTTTTGCTCTTTATCAAATTTTTTGAAAAAATATTTCAAAGAAAATCAATAATAAAAAAAAAAGAAATCTGTGGCTTCAATAATATCACAGGGCCCATTCCATTCACAGCACTTATTTGCTGTAACACAAATGCTACCGCACATATTATGGCAACACATGACAATATGCCTAATGTACAATGGTGTGATGAAGTGCCATTCATTCTGATGGCACCCTAATGCACCCTAGGACAGTCATGCACTATTTTTTTGGCAATGCGCCACACCACAACACGTTATTTTGTTGCAGACTGAATGGCAGTTTATGGCACCTATGCATTTACAATGTACTGTTGTGCTTTGCGGAAACGCACATTAATATGCACATTACTACAAATAAGGAGTATGAATGGGTGCTTATTGGTTGACCTGAAGCAAGTGTGTAGACCAGAAAACTTAGAAAAAACTCTTTATCTGCATCCTTTTTTTTGGTCAGCCTGGTATTTAGCATTTTCAGAAGAGAGGTTGAAAATGGCATCCTCCAGGAATAAAATCTGTGTATGGTGCAGCAAGAAACTTTTAGGCTCCCTGCTAAACCCTCAAACACATTTACATAGAAAGCAAGCATGTGTGAAACTTCTTTGTAATGTGGTGAAATTATCTGAAAGTGAAAAACTACCTGTGCTCATGTGTTTAGCTGGATACTAAAATGTTGTTCTTTTTATACACCTTATAAGGAGAATAAATAATTGGAAACTGATGTTTATGCAAAACAAACATCTATGGCCTATCACGGGAATGTATTCTGTGACCTGTAACAGAATAGCGTGTAAGTCTATTATATATGTGTTATTCATAGTCATACACTTTGGCAAAAGTGCCAGGCTTGAGATAGGCAAGCTTAAGTGGTCCTAAACCGAAAAGGTTTTTTATTTTAATGCATTCTCTGTATAAGGTAAAAAGTGTTTATGTGTTTGTGCATACCCCCACTTAAATACTTACCTGAGACCCATCTCGATCCAGCACTGTGCCTGTCTGCAACAGCTTTTTTCCCCTCTCTCTCTCTTTTCACAGGAGACTCAAAGGCAGTGGGGGCAATTGGCTCTTGCTGCTGTCAGCCAAACCCAGCGAAAAGGGAGCAATGGGCAGGGCCAGAACACGCTGTGTGTGCCTGCAGATGAACATAGCCCCTTCTAGGGATTGAGCCTGCAGAAGAGGAGACAGGATCACTAAGGGATCCCAGAAGAAGGTTTGGGGTTGCTCTGCACAATGCCATTGTACAGAGCAGGTAAGTATAACATGTTTGCTATTACTTTATTTTAAGTACTGTGATTTAAAAGTTTTTATATATTGCATTCTAAATATTTGTCTGATTCATATATGTAAAATGGTATTCACATATCGATTTTTACAATGTAACATAGCATAATGTACAACAAATTTACCATCTGGTGAATTTGAACTAATGTTTACTCATACAAACATTCAGTTTCATCCAGAAACTAGCTGATGTACAAAAAATTACTAAAACTATATGTGCCTGAAATATAGCCAAGCCTGGTAAGATTTCTCTTTTAATATATATTCAATGAAATATGAAAAATGCATGAATATGAGACTAAGCAATTTATTTTCTACTTCTTCCATGTGTGACCTACTCTATAAATATGCACATCAATGTGAGCTAACCAGTGCCTAGCAAAAAGTGACATTTAAGGAATATGTTCAATATGAACACTTTAGTTTCCCAGAATCCTTTGAAGTGTATGTTACAAATAAATTTGTGTTTAGCAGTTCATGTTTTAAAGTGATATTTATTAAGCAATGAGCAGGTGCTACAGGGTTCAGATTAGAAAAACCTGCTGAAATAATATTGTTTTAAGGTTTTTGCAATACTATAATGATGGCCAGAGATGTTAAAGGATAAGTTTATCTTTGAGAACATGTTACATGTTCTACCCATTTTTAATTTCATAAAGACTTATTGAAGAAAAATTTAGAAAAACATATATAATATAATATGTAATATAGTATACGGTGACCAAAAGCACATGCCAGGTTAGAGTAACAAAGGTACCATAGGGCTTAAAAAAACAACCTCAGAAGATTACAGTTAAGGACAATTATGCATTTTCAAAAAAGGAATTATCATTATTCTCAGCATAAAGAAATGCACAAAAAGGTATGGATGATGTTTTATGCATCATGAAAAAAAGAGAGTTACATCTTGAGAGTAAAAAGCAATCTAGCAATCTTTCTTACCACGTGAGTGTTACAGATCAGCTTGAATACAATACATTGTTTTGAGCATTTAGGGGACATATTAGAGGGAAGTTAAACACTTTTTTTTAGTATTAGGTGTATAGACTTGACTTTATAATGAAGGCAATATATTGGTAGAGAAGAGGAAAGAAAAAGAAATAAAAATGGGCAGGGAAGTGAGGAGGGTGCACAGAGGAGGAAGGGGTGGGGAAGGGGTAGGTGGTGGAGGAATTAGAAAGGGGGGAAGGCAGATTTAAAATGAGTGTAGGTCTGCAGCATGGACATAAATAAGA